TAAGTGAGTGGCAAGATTGCCTGGAAAGAATACAAACAGAAAGACCAAAGCCAGGTGGAAATCACTTCGTGACAGTCTAGTGAGAGAATTGGACAAGGGAGACTAGATATGTGGCTGTCAATTCTGAGGCTGTCATAGTTCAAACAAATTGATTGGATCCTGAAGAGCTAGAACAAGGGAAAGGAAAACAGCAGAAAATTAAATGATATATATATATATATATATATATATATATATATTATAATTGTTAAATTATAGTTGGAAATCAAAGCTATGAAAACAACATGTCACCCATTAGAATGGACAGGATGTTGTCATCTTTACTATATATCTCCATTTTTTTTTTTACATAAGGACACAATAAAACTTGACTCTATGAAATCAGAACAACCATGGTTAGAGGAATCCATAGCCTTTCTCCATTTAGTGACAACATGCTCAGTGCCTGCATTTCCTCGAAACTAGGCATTTGTTCTCATTTGAAAACTAGGACACCCTTATGTTTAATTTCAGTATTCAGGGAGCTCTAGTCATGGATTTATTTAATAATAATACCCAGAGATCTTGGACATAAAATTGCAGGCATTTGTAGCCACCTAGGCTGTAACCCACCTGACTATATAGGGAGCTGTAACCCACATGACTATATAGGGGGTATAACCCATCTGACTGTATAGGGGACTGTAACCCACCCTATAGGGATCTGTAACCCTCCTTACTCTTTGGGGGCTGTAAATGGTAGTGGCAAAGGATTTTTATTAATCTATCACACATCTGCCTGAGATAAAGTAATGTGATGCAGTATTCTATCACCTTCATCCTCGTTGCTTCTCACAACTATGTATGCCAGCACTCTAGATGGCATGAAGTTTGGAGTAAAAGCAAATTCGGAAGAGGGCTAGCCCAAGATTCAAAATGAACCCAGAGATCTTGACTAAGTTTCAGTGCTAAACTGGAGTGAGAAAAATTAAACAAGCAAGAGAAGTAAACCAGATTTTCCCAGAGCCTACTTTCCAAATAGAGAACCGTGTGGGTGTGGATGAGCTGAAACAGATGTTTCAGGTGTAGAAATGAGGTTTGGGGAGTGACCAAGTATGGGTTACTGATGTGCTGAGGCATCTTTTAAAAAATGAATGCAAGTTTAGAGGCTCCTGATGCAAGACTGAACCCCGCATCTAAAGAGACTGTGGTCACTGTTATCCCCTATGACTTATTCCATGTCTGAGTTCAACAAATTTCAGGACTGGACTCTTGTTTACATACTGAGGCTTGAACCCAGGACCTCACTCATGTAAGCGCTCTACCACTGAGCTCCAGCTCCACTCCTCTTTTCGTTTTTGATTTTTTCAGACAGACCCTGTCTAAATTGCAGGGGCTGGCCTTGAACATGCAGCCCTCTGCCTTGCTTAATCCTCTTGAGTAGCCATACCATCATGTGTGTGGTGAATTGTCCGTTTTAGAAGAAGCACCGTCACACTGCAGTAATGCCACAAAGATGAGCAGAGTAGCAAGGTGTTGGCAATCTGGCCGTAATGACCAGTGAAGACCCAATATCACTCACAACACATGATTCCCCTCGAAAGGATACAATGACCATCTTCAAGAATCTGGAGGTCCGGCTCTGTGAAGAAATTGTTGAGTTTCTTTTCTGTCTGTTTGCCTGTCTGTCTTCCTTCCTTCTGGAACAGTGAGTGGAAATTCCAGCTCTTGAATTCATGTGAAACAGGAGGGAAAGTAGCAATAATTAAAGCTGTTTAGCAAGGACATCAGTGTCCTACGGAGCAGTGATCTCCCTGAGATCCGTGTATCCAAGCAGAAATCAGTTGGCCACTGTCATTTGTTTTCCCCAGCTCCTCCTCTTCCCACCCACATCTCATCTGGTCCTAGAGCTTCAAAAATTGTCTCCAGATTTAGGGCTCTGTCTTAGTTAGGGTTTCTATTGCCATGATAAAACACCATGGCCAACAAGCAAGTTGGGGAGGAAAGGGTTTATTAAGCTTACACTTCAGCATTGCTGTTCATCGCCAATAGAAATCAGGACAGGAACTCAAACAGGGCAGAATCTGGAGGCAGGAGCTGATAAAGAGGCCATGGAGGGGAGCTGTTTACTGCCTTCCTTCCTCTGGATTGTTCAGCCTGCCTTCTTATAGAACTCAGGACCATCAGTCTAGGGATGGTGCCACCCACAGAGGGTTGGGCCTTCCCTCATTGGTCACTAATTGAGGAAACACCTTATAGCAACTCTCACAGAGGCATTTCCTTAGCGGAGGCTCCTTCTTCTCTGATGATTCTAGCTTATGTCAAATCGACA